GTGGACACAATTAACTTTTGTAATGAAAAAAGCGGACACACTACAAACCATTGTAGTCTGAAAAGGCAGATACAATTAACTTTTGTAATGAAAAAAGCGGACACTACAAACCATTGTAGTCTCAAAAAGTGGACACTATTAACTTTTATAATGAACAAAGCGGACTCTACAAACCATTGTAGTCTGAAAAAGCAGATACTACTAACTTTTGTAGTCTCAAAAAGCGGACACTACAAACCATTGTAGTCTCAAAAAGTGGACACTATTAACTTTTATAATGAAAAAAGCGGACACTACAAACCATTATAGTCTGAAAAAGCAGACACTACTAACTTTTGTAGTCTCAAAAAGCGGACACTACAAACCATTGTAGTCTGAAAAAACAGACACTACTAATTTTTCTAGTCTCAAAAAGCGGACACTATTACTTTTGTAATGAGAAAAGCAGACACTACTAATTTTTGTAGTCTTTGTCTGACCTTTGTGGTCTATGTCCAACTTTTGTAGTCTTTTTTGTAGTCTATTAGTAAACTTTGTAGGCTATAAATTACTTTTGTAGTCTGTCAGTGTCAATTACCATTTTAGGGCATGTACCTTCCTTTTTGGGAGAAATTTCCCACAATACAATAGTTGTAGCCCCTTCTCTTAGCTTTCTAAATCTGTTGAAATCATGTTGTTTAGTGTTCTTTTCATGAAGAAAAATGCAAAAAACAAAAAAAAACGCGGCGCTTTTGAAAACCTTTTACCTTATATCTCCACAATGGAAGCACTTTAGGACATAATTCCAACTGATTCTGGAAGCTATGGTAAAGAGCTACAACTTTTGTTTTTTTACCATTTTTGGAAATTTGTCATGTGACCACCCTCCTGATGACCCATTGGATGGACCGTAATAGCTATTTCATTGCTATCATGGAATATAATGAAAAATCATAATGATATCCCTGGGGGCAGATATGAAATTGGAATGAAATATTGAGATACTCAATGAAAAATCCCAATGAAAGCTGTGGAATATTCAATGAAAGTGCACATCATTAATTATGAAAGAAGCAATGAATACATATAACCTAGCTAATGAAATATTTATTGAAATGCACAATGAAAGCACCCAAAATTGATAATGAAATATTCAATGAAAG